TCTTTATTTGGGCCAAGGATATAGTTTAGGGATAGAGCACTCATTTACCATGCAAACCTAGGATTCAGTCCCTAACACCATACACAAAAATAGTTGGGTTTGGTTTGGTTTGGTTTGGTTTGGCTGGGTGCAGTGAACTTTATTGATGATATTTAAGAGAGCAGGGCTCCCTAGGCTCCTCTCCTCTTTCTGGGGTCTCAGATGGAAACTATGAAGTTTCTCGGTGTGTTGGGGGCTGAGTTGGGGCAGGGACTCCCTAGCCCAGGGCCTCTCTTCCTCTTGCTGTTGTAAGTGCTTCAGGGCTTCTTACTCCTTGGAGGCCACGTGGACCATGAAGTCCACCTCCCTGTTGCTATAGCCAAATTCATTGTCATACCAGGAAATGAACTTGACAAGTGGCCCTTGATGGCAATGCCAGCCCACAATCAAAGGTAGAAGAGTAGGTGTCGCTGTTCAAGTTGCAGGAGACAGCCTGGTCCTCAGTATAGCCTGGGATGCCCTTAAGGGAGCCAGCCCTCTTTTGATACCTGCTTCACCACCTTCTTGATGTCATTGTATTTGGTAGCTTTTTCCAGGAAGTAAGTGAGATCCATGATGGACACATTGAATATAGAAACATGGAAGGCCATGCCAGTGAGCTTCCTGTTCAGCTCTTGGATGTCCTTGCCCACGGCCTTGGCAGTGCCAGTGGATTGTAGGAATGATGTTCTGGACAGCCCCATGGCCATCACACAACAGTTTCCTGGAGGGGCCGCCTACAGTCGTCTGGGTGGTGGTGATGGCATGAACTGTGGTCATGAGTCCCTTAACTATGCCAAAGTTGTCATAGATGATCTTGGTCAGGGGTCTAAACAGTTGGTGTAGGAGGCATTGCTGATGATCTTGAGTGAGTTGATACTTCTTGTGGTTCACACTCATCACAGACATGGGGGCATCAGTAACATCTGCTGAGAAGGGGCAGGGATGACCTTTTTGGTTCCACCCTTCAAGTGGGCCCCAGCCTTCTCCGTGGTAGTGAAGACCCCAGTAGACTCCCCAGCATACTTGGCACCAGCATCACCTCATATGATGTTGGTGGGATCTTGTTCCTGGAAGATGGATAGGGCCTCCTCATTGATGACAACTTTCATATTCTCAGCCTTGACTCTCAGCTTCGACTCTGCAGTGGAACTTACTGTGGGTGAAATTATACTAGAGCATATAGACCATGTAGCTGAGGTTAATGAAGGGATCATCGATGGCATAAATATCTACTTTGCCAGAGTTGAAGGCAGCCCTGGCAACCAGGTGCCCAATATGGCCAAATCCATTCACTTTAGCCTTTACCTTTGTGTCTCAGGGGCAGGGCTGGCACTGCACAAGATGTGCCCGTCTCTGTAACAGGGAGGGGCAGAGGGCCCCAAAAAATGTTTTTTTGAACTGTCATGTAGAATTTAAAAAGAACATTCCTTCTTTTGTTCTTCAGGGCTGTTGGGTTTAAATATTATTTCTGCTTTATTTCTAAACTATCATTTAATTGGTATAAATGTATATGTATGTATATTTATATGTATTTGTTGTTTGAAACAGGGTTTCACTATGTAACCCAGGCTGACCTTGAACTTCTTGCCTCAGCCTCTAGAGTCTTAACCCCAATTTTAAAATTTTTACTGCCCTTAACATTTTTTGAAATGTTAAATTTTCTTTAAAAGGAAGGTGTTTTTGTTATCTCGGTGTATAACAGTGATCCCAGAGTCTGGCAACTTAAGCCTTTTATCGTCTTGCAGCTTCTGTGGGTCAAGAGTCAAGAATCTTTCTCAGATGGTTTAAACTCACGGTTTCTCCTGAGCATTACTGGGGCTAGAGAAGTTGCTCTCAAGATGGTCTACTGACTTCCGTGGCTTTGGCTGAGGCATTTAGTCCTTGCCAACTTTTGGCAGTAGGTTACTCTCCATAGGCGGCTCTCTCCACAGAATACTTGAGTGTCTTTATGATGTGGCATCTGGCATCTCCTGAACAAGTCCTTCCAGAGTCCAAGGAAGAAACTGCAGGCCTTTCACTTGAAGTCTCAGAAGTTGTACACTATCCATTCTGCCATATTTTCTCCTTTAAAAACAAGTCATGTAAGTGCAGCCCATGCTCAAGAAGAAGGTTAATTTCCGACTTGTGAATAAAGAAGTATTAGAAAATCTGTGGACATATTTCAGCCATGGCAGGGGCACATTTTTGAATTCATATTTTTCCAGTATAACTGCCTCCTTATTTTTTTTTCTTCTGATGTGTATCTTCATATTGTGTGAAGAATTAACATTAACCCTTAAGTGTTCCATCCTAATGGGCTTTTTCTCTATATTCCAATGAACTTTTTTCTGTTTATCATTATCCTTTAACAATTTTCTATGTTCTGTTATATCATTTATAGTGAATTATGCTCTCTCTTATTTTGTCATTTTAGATTTTGAGATCATCTTTATTGAGACCTTTCAGTGGGAATTCTATAGTGTTGGAGGATATGGACTTTCCAGAGTGTTTGTATATAGTCCCCTACCTCAATTGCCTTGGTATTTCTAATGTATATTTGAGTTCTAAGCCTGATCTCTAAAGGGGCCTATGGTGACAAGTTCTAAGAGAAGATGTTTTCCCTCTGGTCTGGATTCCAGGCCATGACAGAGAGAGTCCCTAGCCATTTCCTGTGCTTATCTACTCTTAATGGTCATGTAGCCCTTTTAGGGCTCTAGTCTTATGATGGTGTTTGTTCTAAGTCTTTCTCTGCATATCCAGGACTTTGTCTTTTGTGCCCAGGTAGGGGATTGAAACAGACCGTTAGTTTACCATGATCAGCCTCCCCCCAAAGTGACAGCTAGACTAATCTCTTACAGTTTTACCTGCTTGCCATTTCACTTTTTGTTCTTGGCCTCTAGAAATGTCTCTTACTGTTTGTGAGCCTAGGTAGGCCTTTGAAAGGTTTATTCTAAAAGTTTTTTCATAGATGTTACTTTCAGGTTATCTTATTTGTCATACTGTAAAAAAATTTTCAAGAAGGCCCATTACTGAATAAGAGTAGGCTTAGAAGCTACAGAAATGAATTACACGATTTGTCTTCTAACATTTAAGCCTAGACCTGTACTCAAAAATAATCTAATTAGAAAATTTTTTTCTCTCCTGTAATTGTAAAACACCACAAGTACTGTAAACATATTTACAAAGCTGTTAAGTCTGCTGAAATGTGAGTTTGCTAAGGTAGCAAAGGATTCCATTATTAGCATTTAGTACAAATCCTAGAATAATATCTCTGCCCTAATTATTTATGTATTCTAGAGTGACTTAACTACAACTAGGGAAGAAAACTATTTGTGTTGGTCCTATCAATACTGTGACCAAATCAAATGACAGAAGCAACATTAAAAAGGAAATACTTATGTTAACTCACTGTTTCAAAAATTCAGTTCAGGTTTGCCCCACACTTGGGAGACAGAGACAGGGCATCCTCAGAGCAAGATGGTTGGCTAGACTAGCTGGATTGGTGAGTTCTGGATTCAAGTGACAGACCCTGTTTCAATATGTAACATAGAGAAGGAATGAGGAAGACACCCAACTTCAGTCAGCCCTCTATACACATATGCACCATACACATCCACACATGCATGGTCACTCACAGAGATGAGCATACATAGCACACACAAAAACAACTCAAGAATTTTGGAGGAAGTTATACTCAAACCATAGCGAATGTACACAGGAAATCTTGGGCCTATATTATGCAGGCCAGAGAATGACTATCATAGCTACACTTTGTTTTCACTGAGTGAATGTATTAAGTATACAGCAAGAAAAGCAAAAGAACAGGGAGCAGGTAGCAAATAAATAGAAGCTGCAGGTAAATAGCAAAACATGAAATCCAGAGTTTGCAACATCCAGCAAAGACATTGAGGTATCCTGATGGAGAGAGTAAACAAAGGCAATGCCACCAAAGCCGGTGGCTTCCAAACATCCAGCAGAAAATGACTGGGGAAGTTGCATTCAGCTGGAGTTTCCAATTGAGCATTTCCTTCCATGGATGAGCTTCTGGATTCTCTTTCCCACCACAGGCATTTTTATACTATGGGCAGTACATAGTAGTAGCCTCTGTTGGCATAGTTCACTTTCTAGCTGTTCTCAAAGATGCAATGTTTTTTAAAAAAGTGCCCTTAGTTGCTTTGCTGTTTTTCCCTCTCCCCGTTACAGTGTTGGGGCCAGTCTGACCCAGGACAATTGGTCTTGGAGGAGACAAAGGAGGGCTTCCTCCTTGCTCTCAGAGTCCTCTTCCAACAGTCTTAAACAGCACATGACAATTTATCAATATAATTTAGATTACAATTATGATAAAATTAAGCTGTATATATTGATGTGGAAAAATGTCCATGATAAGTGCAAGAACAGGTTTCAGAATCGTGTGCTCTGAGTTCATTTTTGTTCATTTGTAGTACAGTACAGATGATCTTTGCCTTACCATGGTCTGACCACACAGCCTTTTGACTTTGCAGTGTATGGAAGGCATACACATTCAGTAGAAACAGTGTATCCAGTTTTGAATTTTGACCTTTTCCCAGGCTACTGATCTATATCCATGTATAGTGGGAGTACTTGTACTCTTGTTTTCATAGGCAGGGCAGCAAACCACAGCTTCCACTTAGCCATGAGATCCTGAGAATAAACAACTGATGCTTCATGATATCCAGGACTACTTAGCTGGGATGCCATTATGTTAGGTGTATTAAATAGTTTTTGACTTAGAATATTGTTAACTTAATACAGGTTTATCTGGAGCATAACCCCATTATAAGTTGAAAATCGTGCATTATATAAAAATGTCTCCATAAAATCAACTGATAGATTATAGACCAAACTTTTGATATTGTTATTGTATAATACTTTGGATACGGAAGAGAACTTTGCTTTCTTAATTTCTGTATTGATTGAAATTTTCATAATGAACATACATTAATTTTATAACTGCAACACTAATACTTTTAGGAAAAACAATTGATTTAAAACCAGCTGTAATAATTTGCTCACCAGTAAAAATGCCTTAATGAAAACTAGGTAAACCTCTTGGATATTCTAACATTTATAAATGCTGGATCATCGAGGTATAAAAATGAAAATAAAATCAGTCTTAATCATTCATTTTTTCCGTAGACATGCAGTGGCTTTTCTGTACCAGGTACTGTCCTAAGCACTGGAAACACAACAGTGAGAATTCTAGACTTAAACATAATAAAAAATAAAAGCTCTGCCTTTGTGAAGCTTACGTTTTAGTAGAATTGTTTATTTTGTGACGTTTACATTTTAGTAGAATTGTTTATTTTGTGACGCTTACATTTTAGTAGAATTGTTTAGGTATATTGAATCCTATTGCTTAATGGAATTTATAAAACTGTCACTTATTGAAAATTACTCTTTGCTTAATCTTAGTAATATTAATTTTGTTTTCTTACAGTAACTGGACCTCTGTCAGAACCACAGATTGCCTATGTTAGCAGAGAAACACTACAGGTAAATCAAGTATTAACTAAAAAGTAATATTCATTATTAAATTAGATGTTTATTTACTATGCATTGCTATTAAAGGATGAAGTATTCTAGTTTGGTAAACTCTTGAAGACTTTTGATACTTTTTTTATATGTTTTGTTTTGCTTTTGTGGTGCTGGATGTTGAACCCATGACATGCTAGGCAAGTGCTCTACCTCTGAACTGTATCTCCAGCCCTTAATACATTTTTAAATTGTATTAACTCATGTTATACTTACAAATCAACACTTGAAGCCTAAAGGTTACAATATAACCTAGAATTCAAGTGGTAATCTATCTATTCCTCTTAATGAAAAAAAAAGCCTTGACAGGTAGGTAGTACTGTGGGAACTGACACTCATTCTGATTCTAATGGAACACATACTTGAAGTCATTTCAAACTATTTGCAGAGGTTGCTCAAATTTATTGTGGAAAAATTAGTGATTCCATCGGAGTTTTATTTATCTTCTTCATTGTCTTGACTCTGTGTCCTTAGTATATTTCATTAAACAATGCTCACAGCCAGATTTTCTGTAAGGAATAAAATACTGACTACTGCTCAATTGCTTAAAATCCCAAATTGTGCTTTGTGATATAATCTGTTTTTTGTTTGTTTGTTTTTAACTTCAGGGATTATATTACCTTCACAGTAAAGGAAAAATGCACAGAGATATAAAGGTATACATTATATTTTTAACCTAATAACCTGCTATTCATTTTGAAGTACGCTGACCCAATTATTGAACAAAATTCTTTCCCTTATTCCACCTGATAAATTTGTTATCTGAAATATATTACAATAAGAAGCATAAGTGATCTATGAAGAGTTTACTTACATTTAAAAATTACTTTATTATTTTTATTTTGTGTGTATGAGCACATTACCTGCATGTGTATAAGTTCACCCATGCCGTGCAGTGCCTGTGGAGGTCAGAAGAAGGTGTCAGATCCCCTGAAACTGGAGTTACAGACAGCTGTTAGCTGCTATGTGGGTACTGGGAATCAAACCTGGGTCCACTACAAGAGCAGTCAGTGCTCTTAACCACTGGGTCATCTCTCTGACCCCAGAGTTTAATTACATTTTTAAGATAACTTTGTTGAGACGAGATTCACATGTCATAAAAACTTCCAGTGTAAAATATATAATTCAGTGAATTCATTTGGAGGGTTTTCTTTGGCTTTGGTTTGGAATTTTTTTGAGACAGGGTCTCATTTGACCCAGGCTGTCCTCAGACTCACTGTGTAGTTGAGGATGACCTTGAGCTCCTGGTCCTTCTGCCTCTACCTCCTAAGTGCTGGGATTATAGGCAAGCAGCACCACACCTGGCCAGATTAGTGTTTTCATAGCTCTTTTTAGCTCATTTATAGCTATTTTTGAATAAAATGCAAATTAAGTCATACCTTTCATCAAGTTATAGCAAATTTCATACTTTGTGTTCTGCTAAGTTTTAGCAATCTTGAGGAATTTTGATTAATGTGTCTAAATGGATGAATTAAATCTTTTTTAAAATTTTAATTTATTTTTATTTTATGTGTATCAGTGTTTTGCCTGCATGTATATAAGTGTGCCCATGTTGTACAGTGCTCAGAAGTCAGAAGAGGGCATCTGATCCCCTGGAACTGGAGTTACAGATGGTTGTTAGCCACCATGTGGGTGCTGGTAACTGAACCCAGGTCCTCTGCAAGAGCAGCCAGTGCTCTTAACCACTAAGCCATTTTATCCAGCCCCAGTGAATTAAATCTTGACATCTTGTCTTGTCTTTAGCTGTCAGAAGGAAGCAGTGCTCTGGGCAAGCTGGGGTTAGTTCAGTGCTGACAGGACTCCTGAGGGTGTTTTCTAAAGATCCTATCTTCTCCATAATCTAGGTATTTCCTCTTTTCATTTATTTTTCTTGTCCTTCTTTATTTAGTCTGCCTCCTACCATTCCCTCCCTCTAGTGTTTTCTCTAGTGTAGAGCTTCTTAAACTTCAGGGGAAATAGGGGAATCATTTTGCTCTCTTAGTCCCCAATAAAAGCCCTGGACTACTCTGTTCAGTGAATGCCCTTAATACTCATGCACTCCGATTTCCCCTGAAATTTAAGTGGGCTTGTGGATTCCCCAGCTTTTGGTATTTTCTGTAAGCCACTTAAGATATGAGCAAAGAGCTTTGTGTTTCACAGGTAAATGGCTTCTATGGAGAGCAGTCTATTAAGAAAGGGGCTGTTTAGGAAAATCCAGATGATCTTGAAGCATCGTTTTGGGGTTTGTTTTTTTTTTGTTTTTTTTTTTTTTTTTTTTTTTTTTTGGTCAGCAATGAAGGTTGGGTGCTCTTCAAGCAGAAAGAACAATGTGAACAAAAATACAATGAAGTCTGAGGTTGTTTAAGAGAATTAGAGTACAATCTGTACTCTATTATTGAGGAGCAGAGAGGTAGTTTCGTAGTTGGAGAGCTTAACTGGGTAGCTTGGTGGTCCATTATTCAAGGACTCTTGTGTGTGACTTTAGAGTTTGAGTAAATTCTGACATCAGCACAGCCTCCGTCTTTGGCTAAGCCACTACTGAATTATAGTTCACCTATATTTCTGTAGTAGCCTTCTAACTGGTCTCACTGCTCCCATCATACCTAACAAACAACATGGTCTTTTAAAGTCAGATCTTGTCACTCCCCCGTTTAGAAGTACCATTGATTTCCCATATTCACTGTGAAGTGCAGCGTGTGGAAGACCTTGGTCAGCAAGGTTATGCATGATCTGCATTTCTCTGACCTCATCTCATGCTCCATTCCTGTTTATTTACGCCATTCCAGTCACATAAATTTGCTGTTGTTGGAATATATTGAGCTCATTCTGGCCCTAGGTCTTTGTGTTTGTTGTTCCCTCTTTCTGGAATGTTCTTATCCTAGATTTGGTATGATTGTCTATCTTTACTTCACTGAGATCTGTTTATCACTGCCTTTCACAGGACTTCTTTCCGCTTGACTTTGAATCTTTTCTTAGTTCGCAGATGATCATTTTTTATTTTCTTTCTCGCTTACTCGGATGAAAATTTCATGAAAACTGGAACTTATTCATTACTGTAAACTGGAACTCAAAATAGCACCTGGTTATCCAGTCATCTTTGGGGGGTGAGGCCGGGGTGGATAGAGGGAAGAAAGGAAGGATTAGAGGCTGTGATATATGTGGAATGATAGAAGCTGTAACTTGGGGAAATTAATCTGGAGGTGGAGAGAAAACAAACCAAAGACTAGCAGAGCTCTAAATAGGTAGAAGGAGGTAAGTTAAAAGCCATGCGCTAGGCCCATCTTACCTTTTTCTCCCTTTCTTCATTATTCCATAGATCTGGTGATAGTATTGAGTGCAGCTCAGTTTCCTGAATGACATTTGGGTGTCTGTAAATCTTTTCTTCTTTTTTTTCTCCCTAGTCTTCTGCCATTTCTTCTTCTTGATAGTTAGGGGGAAGGTGTTCAACAAAAGCTTCCCCCAGGCTGTAATCATACCAGCGCTGTGGCTGACAGCCACTTACCTTGTTTTGCTCATTTGTTTAAAAGTTGCAGAGGAAGCAGCTGTGGGCCTGTAGCTAGTTATTTGTAGCCAGATGACCCTAAACTTTTGAGGAGGCTATTATAATAGAGAGTCCCACCTACTAAGAAGCAAGACGGTCACATCCAACACTGGTGGGTTCCTGGGAACGAGGACATAAGGACAAGAAATAGTAATCAAGTTTAAGGTGTAATTCGAGCAATTGAAACACCATGCTAAAGTAACATTTTAATGTGGTGATAGTGTGTGATCAGCAAGGAAATAGCAGTCAGATGAAAACATGTGACTTCTGGGCTGGAGAGATGGCTCATCCATTAAGAGCACTGACTGCTCTTATAGAAGACCCGGGTTCAATTCCCAGCACCCAAGTGGCAGCTAACAACCATCCGTAACTCCAGTTCCAGAGGATCTGATACCTTCTTCTGACCTCCACAGGCATTGCGTGACATGGTTGCACTTACATACATGCAGGCAATACACTCATATACATAAAATAAAAAAATAAATATCACTTCTGTATTAGCATTCATATTATGATAGCAAGTAGGTTTTTTTAAAGGCTGTGTATTATATAAGGACAGTGAAATTACTAAAAAGTGAATAATTTCTTCTATAATTAACATTTTAATTGAACATACTTTAAATTTAAGTATTTCTAGATCTAAAGCTGTAATCATTTAAATACATGTATTTAATCTCATATATTTGATCTAATGTCTGTTTTCTACTTAACTAAAATGTTCTCACTTTTAAGGGAGCTAACATTCTATTAACGGACAATGGTCATGTGAAATTAGGTAAGTAAATTGGAATTCTGTTGTATACACAAATCTTTTCTGAAACATAGTTCAGCTTGGTTTGAGGTTTTGTTTGTTTTTGGTTTTTTTTTTTTTTTTGTAGGACAGGAATTTCCTTCTCCTAGGACACCTCTAGGGATGTCATCTATATATTTTTCAAAGGAAATTTCATGACAGGCCTGGTCACCTCTTCGTGTGATTCTCATCCCCTAAGCAGGAATAGCCTGTCCTTCACATGAGACAGATAGCTAGCTGCAAAGATGCTGTGAACGAATCCATTTGGGGAGTTCTCAGCTCTAAACCCAAAGATGTGACTCTAGTAAGAAATCAGTATAAAATTGTAAAAAGAAAAGAAGACAAACAAAAACAAATTCATTAACTCCAGAAGTCCTTCAATCTTTATCTAAGCTTTCTAAAATACAATTATTATTTCTATAAGAATAGAATTTAGGTGCTGCATGTTGATTTATTTCATGCAGTAACTTATAAATCGATAACTTTTGTCTCAAGGTATGATTAAAATAAGATTCAAAACCTAAATAATGACTTAAAAGCAAAAAAAAGTTCAGTATAGTAACTTTATGAACTTTATTAAGTAATAACAAGTATGTAATAACAAATATGAAACAATTTTGAACTATTTAGGACAAGTAAAATTCAAAATATGTATTGTTTTATAAAAATGTCCATAGGGCTTGGGATGTTAGCTCAGTAGTAGACCCCTTGCCTAGAATGTTCAAGGCCCTGGGTTCAATCCCCAGCTGTACAATAAATAAATACTATTTTGAACTACAACCTACTATGAAACTAATCAGATTGAAAGTACTTATGTAATCAACATAAAACAAAGTTTTCAAAGCAACCTGTAAATATGAGAAAAGAAGAAAAGACATGTCCTCTTCTTGTCTATTATATACTCTAGATGGCTTAGTGAACAGTTTCTACCAGCAGTGTAATTTGTGACTGTGTTATGTACCTTACTTTATCTTAGGATGGATTTAGAAATCATTAAATATACTAGAAAAAAAACTCAACAAGTCCCCACTAAGTGGTCAGCATTGCCAGGAGTGTGCTGCTAAGGTAAAGATAGGAGAATGCTGTGTTGGAGTGTCTTCAAACTGGATGGATTTACCAGTGGATATATCTGTCTGTTAATCTGGGTCTGGCAGAGAGTGAATGGTATTAAAGGTCCCTTCCAGTAATATTCCTAGAAGTAGAGGTCCTAGAAACTAGAAATTAAAATGGTGTCATTGTAGATTTTTCTGAGCCCTTACCCTCTCATCAAATTGTTTGGTTTTGACCTTTTTGTCATTTGATCATATGGGATATGTAGTATCTAATCTGGCTATGCCACATGCTGCTATTTGTGAAATCTTAACTAGTACATCAAAGTTCAAACATTTAACAATTGAGATTCTTTTTGCATAATTCATGAAAATAATTATTGAAAGTTAAACAATTTTACTTTCTCTCATTTTTTTAAATAGCTGATTTTGGAGTTTCTGCACAGATAACAGCTACAATTGCCAAACGGAAGTCTTTCATTGGTACCCCATACTGGTAATTGTATTTTCATTCTCTTTTTTCTTTTTTACTGTCCTGTCATTAATGGATACAGCATTTCTTCTTTTAAAAAAAAATAAACTGAAAGACTGGTCAGAATTCTTAGGACTAGGATAGACTAGAAGGTAGTCATCAAGTTACATAATAAAGCATGTATACTTATAGATGGATTACTTGGCCAAAAAAAAATAAAATAACCTGCATAGTATTTTTCATAAGGCAGAAAAGTCTTTAAAGTTTGATACAGTTTTTAGGAAACTTCCAGCTTTGCTAACAAAACCTGACTCCTTTGCATGTATTTTCATAGATGTTTTATATATGTCTTCTCTACCACCATATTCTAATGATTAGATTATTCATAGTACCCCTTGGCTTAAAACTTTGTTTGTTGGGACTGGCAAGATGGCCCAACAGTTAAGAGCACTGGTTACTCTTACAGAGGATCCAGGTTTGATTCCCAGCACCCATATGATAGCTAATAACTATCTGTAACTCCAGACCTTCTGTAATTCTTCTGTTCTTGGCCACTGACTCTGTGCAATTCACTGAGCACTGTGACTGCAGTGGTGGTCAGGGACAGGCTGTTTTGTTTATCACTATTACTTAATCTATAAGTTTTGCAGTGCCTTGAGCTGCCAGTCCCCAGACATCCCTAGTCTGACTGCTCAGTATAAATTTGTACTGCTGATTGTCTAAGTTGGGAATGTGATAAGTAACAGCTTTTAAATTGATTTGTCTCTTTATTAAGTATAAATTATACATGTCAGATAGTGTTAGATTTACATGAAAAACTTACAGTTCTGTCTTTTGCTGGCTCTAGCATTATCTGTTATTTATAGGCTCTGTTGTAGTAGTTGAAGATTTCAGCCCTTCATCCTTCTGTTTCTCTTGTGCTTACAGGGTACTTGCTGAACCAATTAGTACACTTAATATCACTCTTCACTCTTTCTGAATTTAGTAATTTCATTTTTAATTTCCTTTTCTTTTAATCTGTTATTAAGAAATATCTTCCCACATTTTCCAGTTCTCTAAAATGCCTCTATATAATTGTCTATACCAGAAAGCCTGTCTAACTATCATTCCTGAGTTTTAAGGTTGGTTGGTTGGTTGGTAATGTGTGTGTTTATTGGGTATTGAACCCAGGGACTCACTGCATGGTAGGCAAGCACGCTACCATTGAGCTACATCTCCAGTCCCTAGTTTGTTGCTTTCATCTGTGTTTTCTTCCTGGAATAATTCTTCCTAGAGTCTTCTGTACTCTTCCAGTTTGGTCTGTTTATGCTCTAGTCTAGCTTTGATAGAGCTTCACCCTGGGAGTTCCATTCTTGGATTCTAATCAAATTCAAAATTCTTTTGATTTTTTTTTCCTTGAAACACATTTTACTATCTGCATGGGGAGTAAAAGTTTTGAGACTTCACATTTCTGTCTTCACATTTGATTGAATATAGAATTGTAGGTTAGAATTTTTGAGGTATTGTGTCTGTGTTTTTTCTGACACCAGTGGAAAGCCATCAGGATGCGTGTTTCTTTGAATGCAACCCGCACCTCCCCCTAGAGTCACATCTGTTTTTTTTTTAATGTGTTTTTTATTTTATGTGTATGAGTGTTTTGCCTACATGTATCTAAGTGTATCACATGCATGCCCCGTGCCCACAGAGGTTGGAAGAGGACATCAGATCCCCTGGAACTGGAGTTAAGGACCATTGTTAGTCACCAGGTGCTAGGATTTGAACCTGGGTCCTCTGCAAGAGCAGAGGCTCTTAACCACTGAGCCATCTCTCCAGCCCCTCCACCTACTATTTTGATATTCCTTGATAATTCACGATATATTTTGCTTGGTTTTTATTTTTACTCCTTTATACTTGGCATTATTTTTCCCTTCAGGGATGAATGTCTTGGAGTTCTGGGAAGTACTCCTGTATTGAGTTGATCAGTTCTTTGCCATGTTTTTTCCTACTCTCTCTGGCACTTCTTAATTATATCTCAGGCCACTTGAATTAACCCATTAGTTTCTTACTTCCAGTTTATTAAAAAAAAAAAAAAAGTTTTATTCAAGACGCAGACAGTCTCTGAGCTTGAGACCAGACAGGTGTACACAGCAAGTTCCAGACCAGCCAAAGTTACATAGTGAGACCCTGTCTCAAAAACACAACAAAACAAACAAAAAACCACTCATTCTGCTTCCTGCAAGAGTTTCTTGGCATTTTAGATTCATACTTTCAGAATGGAGGCTTGTTTCAAAGGTTTAATAATCATTGCATTGATGGACTGACTGTAGATCTGCAAGTGGTAGTTAGGTGTCTATAGTCCCAGTTCTGGTGCGGGGGCGGCGGGGCATGAGGGTCACTGAGGCAGGAGGATATCTGGCACCCAAGAGTTTGAGGCCAACCTGGAACAACATAGAATTGCTCAGAATACATAAGCAAAGCTGACTCAATCTCTGTGTGTACAGGAGAGGCAAGGTGTGTGCCTAGGGGTTAGTGTTCCCCAAATGGGTTGACCAGGGACTGTGGAGAACTCAGTGTTCTACACATACACACACACACACACACACACACACACACACACACACGCGCGCGCGCAGACACACCCTCAGTATTCTACACACACACGCACACACACCCTCAGTGTTCTACACACACACACGCACACACACCCTCAGTGTTCTACACACACACACGCACACACACACTCAGTGTTCTATACACACTCACAACATACACACACACACACACCCTCAGTGTTCTACACACACACACAACACACACACACACACACCCCTACCTAATCAGGATGTCTCCTGAGTCCTAGCTGTCACGTGTTCCTAGAATTCATGAGGGAAGCCTCTCTTACTTCTCTTGATCTTTATTCTGTGGCAATAAGGAAGGAATAATTGCTGGGGCTCAGGAGATGAAAAGAGGGAACTAACTGCTGACATTTTCAAATACTATTCCTCTTCTCGCCCAACCTCAGTCTGACTTTTGTTGTCAGCACTTGGGTGGTTCTTTGAGGCTCAACAGCTTGCTAGTTGCTCTTGACCTCTGCACCCTTGATTAGCCCTTTTGCCTTGCTCTGTCATTTTGCATTTGTTCTCAGTCTTTCTGTGGTTTTAGATAAGATATGTCTTCTAGGATTTTGAAAGATGTGTGTTTGTATCTCTCCTTGTTCTACTCTTTATCGTTTGAGTTTGTTTTCTGAGAGAAGCCAAGGATTTGAAGAATTATCTGTTGCTGTTTCACATACTGTCTGTCCTCAGTTTGTCTTTGTGTGTCTGGAGGAACATTCACCCTATCCCTGGAATCTAGCCTGATTCTGCACACATGCTCCATAAATGTTTGTTGATGAGGATTGAACTTTACCTCCACTTCCAGAAGGTAAAACTGTCATTCCTTATACAACAGTGTGGGAAATACCTTGGGAGATGTGAAGTTGTGAATTAGGCAGAGTTAGTTAGCGGAGCACAGTAGGAACACCCGGGTCTACTCTGTCTCTTTTTCTAGTACCATATCTTTCCCACCTAAATCTAACAATATTCATTCTCTCTCTTCCAAAGTGATTAGGTTGGCAGTTAGTTAGAAACATCAGACCCAAAACACTCATTTGGGACAATGACACATGCCCTTGTTTGGCAGTCTTTCGTATAGAATCCAGCTAAGTGGATCACTTATTTTAGGTGGACAGTTCTGTGGTTGCCTAACGAGGAAGATAAAGCAGATTTCCACCATCTAAAACATTTCCTGTTGTCCCTTTTTAATAAATTCTCTCACCATCCCTGACCTTTAGTATTTAGTAACATGTAGTTTCAGCTTGTATGGTTTACCTTTTCCTTACCTGTCACACTAGTGGAATCATGCCACCTACAGCCTTCAGTGTTTTGTGGTTGTTGTCTTCCTATCTTAATTGCTGGAATTTTTGGGTTGTCTTCATAAATTTATCGTTACTAAGTTTTTCTAAAGCATTCACTTTAATTTTGATTTTTAACTATTTTTAGATTTATAATAAAGTTTTCGTACTATTTCATTAAATTGTGTGTTTGCAATAGCAAAGACACCTGAAATACCTTGGTTTACTGAAGAGTCCAACTGACTGTGGTAGGCACACATGACTGTAACTAGGTGCCTTCAGAGGTCAGTGTCTGTGTGTTTTGCCCCCTATAAAGGCTTTTTCTCTTCTGTAGCTAGACTATAGTTGTCAGTAATGTAATAGCAAGCATACTTTAAATTTACCTTTTCTTCCCATAATGTGAATTTTCATGAGAGATATTTCGAGATCAATAGACTTTAAGACGTTACCTGGCAGGGGAGACACCATGATCAGGAAGGTGGTTTTTCCAGGGCAGGGCTCATCCATTGCACTTGTGGTGTTCTGACCCCGGCGATTTCTCCAAATGCGGGAAACTCGACTGCGTAATTTGTGGTAGCAGGGGACTGTGTTCGTGCTCCCTCTTGGGGGCGGGGGGCGAGTTGCATAGTTTTTTTCCAGTGTCTTATTTTTATCTTAACTTGACTTTCTTGAAATCATACTGGAAGACAAATGTATATTTCTTTTTTTTAATTTATTTAATAGCCACATGATTAGAAGAAGCATTTCATTACAGCTTTAACATATTCAGTAACACATTCCAGAGCAAAGATACATCTCATTGAAAAGTGGCTGTAAATTTTTAGGTTCACAGTTGAATTTATACAGTTATACAGTATTGAATTCAGTATAAACCCTGTAAGACATAAAATTGAATGAGTTTTTAACATTTAAAAAAGATCTCCATTTCATTTTAAAATACACTGTTTCCTACAGAAAGACTCATTTTTAATGCTACTAACACTTAGATGTTTGCACATGCATCTCTAATCTCTATGTATCTGATTATTACTAGTCACAATTGGTTACACTCAGATCATTGGCACCTGAGTATGGATATAAGTAAGTCATCAGGTAGATTTCAATGGTAATGTTTATCACCTCTACTAATTAACATGAAGTAAGTTTTTATGCT